CGCGACAAAAAGAGGAGCTCTCTTCATCGCAGACACGGCGTCCGCGTGTCGGAGATGAAATTCGAGTCGTGTACCTCCCGCGGGAGCGCGAACTGTCTCCTTCGACCGACGGCGCGGCGTCGACCGGGACGCTCACGGGACACTCACGGAGTACAGATTCGCCCTGTCGGCTTTGGAGCTGACGGTGTGTCCTTCGGCGCACTCCACCAGGTATATCGTGCCGTTGTGGGCGCCGAGCGCCAGCAGATGGCCCGCCTCGTGCGGAGCGATGGTCGTCAGCCGCTCGTCGCAGACGCGGAATGTGGCCACCGACGCATCCACGCCATTAAGGATGTCGTATACCTCGAGCAGGCCTGTCACGTTTATAGTGAAGAATACCGAATGCCTGGCCCTGCTCCAGCAGCCCCCGCTTAAATCAGCATTCTGCTCGCTGTGCGCGTACGAAATTTCATCTCTCTCTCTCTCTCTCTCTCTCTCTTCCTCCCTCCCTCTGCCTCTTTCTCTACCACGCTCTTTCGATGCCACCGTGTTCCAGCGCGGCGCGCGCGGAACGACAACAACATTAACCCCGAAACTACACCGGCAAAAATGACGATCGGGAGCGTTTGACGGCGATAAACAAGGCATTAATCGCACGATGCATCTTTCTGTTTACGCTCGGTAGTCGTTTCGCTCCGCTCCGTGATAAGTATTCGCGACTGTGCCATAAAGCACGGAAGTGCGCTGATTAACTCGACCAGACGTGCCGCGCAATGGCGAAATGTATCAACGCTTTTGGATATTGCAGGATGATAATAATTAACTTTTATCGGACGTATGTCACCTCCCACGTGATATTATATCTTTTACCGTTGCAGACGTTTGTTACCTCTAGGGATGCAACGATTTCTCAAAATATCGATAACGATATTATCGTCATTTGGAACCATCAATAACGATAATATCGATAATTTTGAAAAATATCGATATTTATATAAAAAAATGTATACATATAGGCGTATGCATATAAAGGGTATAAACGAAAAATTTTTATCTTCATATAATTTATTGTCATATTCTTATTAGAAAATGTATAATAAACCGCAGTCGTTTGCCGGAGATCACCGCATACATGGAACAGGAGATCTATTACGGTTCTATTACGATCGAGGTGAAAATGATAAAAGTGAGCGAATTTATCAGACATCAACCAATTACATAATATACATATATTCTAGTGAATTCACTTTTGTAATTTTCATCTCGGTCGTAGAACCGTAATAGGCCCCCAGATCTGTAATTGAAAAATACGAAATATCGATCAAATTCATATCGATATATCGATTTTATCGGAAATAAAAAAACATCGATAAATATTCGATATTTGTCTCTCGATATTTCGATATTATCGATTTATCGTTGCATCCCTAGTCACCTCCCACGTGACATTATATCCTCCCTCGTGGAGTCCTTGTCTGCTATCAAAGGATATGCTTTCAAGTGTTTTTTTGAGAACTCGAAAACATTAAAAACATTAAATATTGCATATTCGCGAGAACATTGGCAAGGTGACGATCTAGCGGCAACTCAGGTCTGGGAATTTGACGTCCGATAAGGGTTAATATACAGTGAGTCTGGGAAAAAGTACGCTACGTTTTTCTCACAAACAGTTAGGGATTGGTGATCTTAGCCTTGAGTATAGGTTTTTCACATTAGGAAAGTACATTAGTTTCTTTTGTGGAAAGAGGTACATTTCAGTCACTCCATAGGTAGTACTCAATCAGCTTGATCACTTTTGTAAAATTTTTTATTTTTTATTCTTTCTACTATATTTCCCACAAGAAAATATTTTTCGCTAAGTAACCATTCAAAAATTAGAAGTACAAGCAAGCTTTTCGCGAAGATTACAGACATCCGGATTAACATGGTGAACATTTTGAACACTCACTGTAATAATAAAAAGATCGGTTTCAAATCTTTCGATTTATAATTTTGTCGATATATCTTGACAACGCAGTTAAATTTTCGAAAGATACTCTGATACGAAAGCTATGAAGCTCATTGAGTATCATCTGTAGAGTGTCTGAAATGTATCATAAAAAAGTTTTTGTTCTCTTTTGGTGTGAAAAACCGACCCTCAAGTTCACTCGAGGTCACCAAAAAGGCATGTATACCTACTTGTCCTATTTTGGTAATTTTGGTAATGGTGTCTTCGTCTATCTCTAATGAGAAGAAAAACGTGGCAAACTTTTCATCGGGCTCACCTGGCATAGGCAATATCAGGCGAATATTTGGATCAGAGCGAATTTGGCAAGCGAAAGTCACGCTAAGTCGAAGATCCCGCGGGTTTAATCCAGTGGTAAGACGTGCAACTGGTCAGCCGGACCGACACGTAACCCAAATTTTCCCTCAGAAACCGTGCCCAGTAACAATGACGCGGTCATTTCCAAGTGCTAGCAAGTATGCGAAAACGGGAAGGTCCGGCTGCAGCTCGCGTGAAGGCAGTAGTCCTAAGGCGAGTAACGTCGGATCCGTCACTCAGCCAACAGCCGCTCGTCTTAATCGGATTAATTTTAACGAACCGGATGGTGATCAGGCTATCCTCTCTGGTATCGTCCGCCCAGATCTTGGCGGTGCAGTCGCCCACGGTGAGGAAGTTCTTTAGGGTGAAGGGGTTGCGATCGATGGCGATGACCGGGCTGTGGTGACAGTTGAATCTATTGGACAGCTTCTCGGCCAAGGAGGGCGCCCGGCGATTCACGTTGACCACCACGCCATTCTGCATGCCCGCCATGAACTTGTAGTCCATAGCCGGCTCGAACTGCAACGATGTGACGCCCACCGCCTTGACGACGTCCGCGCGCTCTGGATCGTCCAGGTCCATCACCAGTACGCCCGTCGGTCTCTTCAGCTTCCTGATATCCCACCACCTGATCGTGCCGCTGGTACACGCTGAGAAGAACTCCGTGTTGGTCTTGGAGGTGAGCCAGAGCGCCTGGTTCGCCGGGTTTCTTTGCGAGTCGCCGGCGAAAAGAGAAGAAGAAACGAAAGTGACGAGGATTGCAATTTGGCAGCAAGGTGGCGTGCTGACTCTTTGGGAGCGTTTTGTCGCGGTAACGACGTCAGGAACGCCGACGACGACGACCAGACGACGATCACGACCGCGCTTACGAAACGAGCGAGCGAGCGAACGAGCGAAAGGAAGAGTGAGAGGGAGAAGGAGGGAAGAAAAGAGGAGAGAGAGAGGGAGAGAGAGCAGTCACGACGATCTGTAAAGTCAGTCAGATGCAAACCGCGACAGGAAGCTCGTAGCGTTTAATTACCATCTAATTCAGTTAATTGACCGATATAGAGCTCAACAATGGCTCGACAGGAACGAGGTTGCACTTTCTCGACTCGGTACGATTGGCTAAAATTGCATATCTCTATTGTCGTCGATTTCGGGATTTGATTCGACCGAGGTGCAAAACGCAGAGTTCACACGACAACGTCAATAGCGGTGATATCCGATAATAAAGTCGATAGTGGCGCAAAGATGTCGAGAGGAATTACAAGCGGTCGTTCGTTTAAAGACGCTCCAAGCGAAGAAGCGGCAAAGGGAATGACTGAAAACTGAAACGGGCAGAGGAGATATATTAGGTCAATCGGAAAGTTCCGTCCGTTTTTTTGCAAAACGTATGGCTTTATCTAAGAAACAAAATGAAAAAGTACATCAATCAAAATATTGTCCCTCGTTAGCGATGACTTTTTTCCATCTTTCGGTCAGCAAGCGAATTCCGCGGCGAAAGAATGACTCATCTTTGGAGGCTATCCAGTCAGAGACCCATTTTTCGACGTCTTCATAAGAATTGAAGCATTCGTCAGCAAGTGCGCGTGCCATCGACCGAAACAAGTGATAGTCGGAAGGGGCACAGTCTGGTGAATAAGCCGCATGGGGTAACACTTCCCAGCGAAGTGCTTCTAACGTTTCCTTGACAAATTTTGTGACGTGAGGCCGAGTGTTGTCATGAAGCAAAATCACTTTATGCTGTCTCGTTTCATATTCTAGTCGTTTTTCGTGCAATGCTCGGTTCAAACGGATCATTTGTCTCTGTAGAGATCCCCTGTGACTGTTTGACCACTTTTCAACAGCACATGGTATAGCACACCCTTCTGATCCCACCAAATACAGAGCATTACCTTCTTCCCGTGGATATTCCGCTTTGGCGTCGATGTTGCGGATTGGCCGGGATCGCAAATAGTTTTTCGATGTTTGGGGTTGTCAAAATAAATCCATTTCTCATCTCCAGTGATGATACGATGTGAAAACCCCTTTCTTTGTTGCCTAGCGAGCAGAATTTTGCAAGTGGTTTTTCGCCTTTCAATGTCTCTTGGCTTCAGTTCATATAGGGCCCATTCTCCTTCCTTGTAAACCTTTCCTCCCTAAGGCTTTCAAACAATCGAAAATGACAGATTGAGCACAATTTAATGCTTCTGCAAATTGCTTTTGCGTTTGTCATGGTTCTTCATCCACCAATGCCTGCAATTCTTCGTCTTCGAATACTTTTGGCCGTCCAGAACGCTCTTTGTCCTCTACATCAAAATCACCACTTTCAAAGCGTCGAAACCATTATCTGCATATTTTATCGGAAGGAACATTATCATCATAAATTTCTACAAGCATTCGATGAGCTTCAGCTACAGTTTTCTTCCAATTGAAGCAGAAGATTAACACTTTGCGCAAATGACGCTTATCTGGCTCAAATTTCGACACTTTCGATGGAGTAAAAAACAATGTTATTGATGCAAACGTATACCTTTATGTACTGAATGTTATTGACAGATGTCAAAACAAATCATTAAGCTTCGTTTAGACATTAGAGGTTAACGACAGTTCTAGCTATAGCTACTTGCCGCTAGATGGACGGAACTTTCCGATTTACCCAATACACTCGATTATCTGAGCAATAACGGCAAACATTAATCAAGCGAGCTCGAGCGGCGAAGAAGCCGCAACTTCCAGCTTAAGTTTGACGCGGCGGTGTCTGAGCGTTGCCAATTGTATTAATACGTTTTCGTCGATACGCAAGATATCCGCGACGAAGGACATTAATCTAGACTATTAGAGACTACCGTCGGCACGGCTTTGCGGCATTTCTCTCTCGGAGGATATTTGCGATTCCGGACGCCATACGTCAAAGTCAAGCACGCTCAAGTTCTGGCCAATAATCTCGGCGGATAGGTGTAAGTCCTGGAGAACTTCCCATTCGGAGATGGATTGGTACCTGTGGCTAAATTGAAGGTGGGACGTTTGCACTGGCCTATTCCCAACTCGGATGTCCCAGTTACACACTTGGCCAGACATTAGTCCGCTAATAAGCATCGACGGATCGCGCGGATTAAACTCGATGCTCATTAACGGCGACGACGATCTCAGCTGCATCACCGGCTTGTTCGGATTTTCTGCAACAAGACGCGATTACGTGCGTTACATCGCGTAAGTTCCGTCTCTGAAATTTCGCTACTGCTGCCCAAATGACCAGCCAGACGTCCAAATGTTCAGTTGCTAATTTCTAAAAAATATAATATTGAATCTCTGTGTGTGTCATTCGCGTGCTTTTCTCTTCGCGACGCGATCGCGGCGACTCGTTTAGAATTCAATTCGAAATTGCCGGTCGATTAAACGGACAAATTTCCTCTTGCGCATTCTGCGAATTTGGTGGTGCTTCTGGTAGTGCCTAGGTTTCATCTAAAGAGATTTGGTATCGCGCAAAACTGGCTCGTTTTTATTATAAAGCTCTTGAAAATATTTCTATAGATGGCTCTTCATGGTGCTTTTCTTTTTTACTTTATGCACATGTGTAATATCTGAAATCTGTATTACACCCGTAAGGGATTTTATACCGCGCCATATTACACCGCCAGAAATCATGTTGTCGGAAATGCGCTCGGCTTTATGGGAGATTGTTTTTGTCATGTGATACGTTTCTGTCAATAACAAACGTAAACAACAAGCGTGTGCGCCGCATGCGACGTCTGGTATAGATATAAAGATTCACGTCAGTGAGACACGTTTCAAATATTATGAAGGACTTTGAAACGGCCAATCGATTTCCGCAACCAGAACCAGGACGGGCGAGTGACAGGCTGCGTTTGACGATGACACGATGAAACATACTTCCGATACGTTATAAAATGTGTCACTCGGCACGTTAAAAAAGAGGGAAAAAGGAGACAGAAAGAGAGAAAAAAAGAGAGAAAGGGACTATATTATTATGGAGGAAAATTCAATAAAATCCAGAAATTCGAGGAGAAGTTAGTTCGCGTGAAATACAGCAGAAAATTCATTTGACTGAATTTCGAATTATTTTAGCATTAAAATTATGTGGAAAATTATATGTAAAAATAATGTTAAAAACAATCGAGCGAGATGCACGGCGCGATTTCAATGGCAATAATTTTTATAGGTAATTTCGTCGTGTTAAATTCCTATCTCGCGTAACATATCGATGTATCAGGAACTGAAAAGTGATATAACAATCCCGTTACCGTTAGCGTTGCTCGGAATTAGATTTTTAGACGAAACTACGATGTATCTCGTTCAAAACGCGCTCTTGTGAAAAACCGTTCTCGCGGTAACGAAGACGATAATTTATTTTCGATCGTATTTTTATCGCGCGTGATCGCGCGCGATAATTTAAAGCGACACGCTATTACCAATGTCCCATATATAGGAGCAAGGATCCACACTGGGTGGTTGCCTCTCAAACTCCATGAAAGAGTAGGCGCCGGCCAATCGATTATGTTCGCTGGACGACCACGACAGGTGACTGACTGGTCTTACGATGGGCTGCGGGTCAGCGTACACGTTTGACGTCCTGAAAGATAAAACGAAACTCACACAGCCCCGCGAAACCCGCGTGAAATCGCACCCGTGGAAATCCCCGCTCCACTCTCTCTCTCTCTCTCTCCTCTTTTTGCTCGTTTTTAATAAAATTCCCATGGGTGCGTATAAATCATCCGCTCGACGACGCGACGCTGAAGGGCCGTTGCTTTTACACGTTGCAAACGTCATTCCTCCACTTTTGTTCCTCGTGCGCGCGCGGCGCTACGCTTCACGAGCCGATTAATTGTAACGACAGCCGCGGACTTTTTGCAAGGAAAGAACGCAGAGGCGAACGAACGGCGTTAGCGCACGGAGAGATGCAACGGCGATTTCTTCCTATCGCGATCAAAACGGCTTTGCCCGCTTCGCTCCAAGGATTTGTCGGACACGAGAGCGAGACGACAGGACGTTTCCCGTAAGAGAAGGGCAAAGCGAAAAACAAAATGTTGTTTCGCAGGGCCGCCGGAACGCGGCTTCCGACTCGAATTTTATCCGATTATTCTCCCTTTTTTCTCTCCCTCGCCCTCCTTTTTCACCATCCGGTGAAAAAAGAAGAGGGAAATTTTGAGGTCGTCGTCTTTCCCGCTCCCTTCCTCTCGTGACGAGAGGAAACGCCTTAAGATACTTTTTCGCCAATGTCTGCGGATTAGCAATAAATCGGCAATAAGACAAGCGGCGCCTCCGTCCATCGCAGCGGGCGCCGCTATAAATTCGAGAGTGCCGGCATCGCAGAGGCGACGCCGATATTTCGAGACTCGTGTGTGTATACGAGAAAAGAGGATCAATCCGCTCGCGTGCTCTCGGCATACCCGACCCGAACGCGACGGAGCATATCTGCGAGGCGCAACACGTGTTCGGACGCGCGAGGAAGAAGACGCGGAAAATTCGCGACTCGCGTTAAACAAGCGTCGCAGGACGAGAAGCAGAACGGGATAAGCGATCTTCTTCCCGTTGAGCCGCTCGACGACAACATTGTCTTCCGGCGAGGCGAGACGCATCGATTTATAGGCTCGCAGTCTCGTAAATAACATGCCGGAGCTTCATGCAGAATACGCGACGACGAGACACGACGTGAGAGACGAGAAGACGGTACGAGCTGTACAGAGTGCAACATCATCATACAGGTCAGTATGACGGGTTGCTGGCCTCTATTCAGATAATAATATAGAGGTTGCCGAAAAAGTCACTCGTTGACTTTGTTGATAATGATATTTGAACAGTGCTCCCAGTTATGACAAGTGCAACTGACTTTGTACCATGATAGTTATGACAGTTTATCGACCGGAGTCGAGCTTCACTGAATTAAAAGAGATATTTAAAAAAGTGAAACTGAGAAATAAATATTACGGAATTAAGCAGAATAAATGGAAGTGATAGTCAAAGAGATAAATATTTGTCATAACTGGGAACACTGCAAATATCATTATTAACAAAGTCAACGAGTGACTTTTTCGGCAATCTCTAAACATTATCTTTACATTATCGTCTGAATAGGAGCAAGCAACCCGTTATACTGATCTGTATGTTGATGTTACACCCTGTATACGTCGAGAAAACGTCGCTTGTGGATGCGATTTCGGGGGATTGCGGGAAGCTTCTTTCAAGTTAATGAGTTATTGGGATATTTTTTATCGCGTCGCGATAAGCGAGGACCGCCTGTGGATTTATGAGACTCGATTTCTACAAGAACTCGTCGTGCGAACGGCGAGCCAGTCGCGAGGAAAATACGCGTCGCATATGATAATTCCGCACGTGACCGCGATTTGTCGAGGGAGATTTAACCCGTCCGAGGAAGCTCGCGTCGCGCACGTCGGCCTTGGAATGTTCCTGAGATATCAGTGATAGGCAGGATTTTGCGGTTCAACGCTCGTCGGTCGATTGTAAAAAGCGACGGCTGTGCATTTCGGATCCGGCCGTGAACGTTGAACCCTTTGGACAAACAATTCGCGCGAAAGTCGTTAAGCTTCTATAATTCGGTTTCTTTCAAAGTATGAAAAGTATGAAAAAAAATTATCTTACGTGAAACCAGCAAAAGTTAACCTCCAAATATAAATTAATAATTAATTTACAATTTTCAAAGATTTCATTCTAAAAAGAGACGGTTCGTATGTAACTTTGATGTTACAATGGGGTACAATATCTGTGTATAGAGGAGAAGGTGATATTATGGCCACTCTCAATATCTCCGTTATTAGGCAGCGAATTCCAATTATTACTTGTGGAATCATTTGTTTAGTAGTTTGCTGTTAGCACAATGACGCTAATTATATCAATACAATAGCTTTTCTACAACGCATTATTACTTTCGAGCATCTCGAAATGTTTTTCAAGATGCATTTTAGCCTTTAATTAGACATGTTCCCTCATTATTTTTAAACTTGACCGTATTATCGAATATATGTACAATTGAATATTTTGTTTGTTACTTGACATTTTATTCGGCTGTACATCTTTCAATTTACGCAAAGTTAAATGAAATAATATGACATTTTGTTAATATAGCCCCATGAGAGCTGACAAAAATACCGTCTCTTTTTCGAGGTTTTTACATCAAAGTAATTATTCGATAACTCGATTCTAATCTGTACTGAGGGCTCTGTTGCACTTATGTTTGCACTGCTATCTTTCTGGCAGATTGTATCTCCTTACAAGTAAATCAATATCCACATAAAAAATTCGCGCAGTTATATTCATTATTATTCCCCCCCTAAGAATTTAATTTCAAGTTATATTCATTATTATTCCCCTCCTAAGAATTTAATTTGAATAAATATATAATTTCGTAACTAAAGACTCTTTGTGTTACTTTAAACAGAATCAATTTTTTTTATCAATTTTAGTGGGAGGCCACATTAGCACTTCATTTTCTCGCCGATCTATAATGCCGTTTCCACATTTTTTTATAAGTAACATCCAAAACAATAAACATTAAATTTGAATCTATAATCGATTAAACGACACACCGTGACAAATGTAATCATTCAGTTCTCACTTTAAAATATTGACTATTAACAAAGTTATTGTATATTATTATAAAACGTGAGAGGAGGGCCATAATACTACCTTCTCCTCTATGTGTACAATTCAAGTTGTGCATATCGACATATCAGTATGTACGTAACTTAAACAAAGTTACATGACGTTATGGAGAGTTAAACGTCGTCGTTCTTATCGAAAAGAAATTCCGACGAGAAGCATATGAACGCGCGTCGCGCGCAAGAGTGACGCGTTGTAAGCTTTCTCTCTACTGTATCTTTACTACGATTTCGCGAAAGTGATGGAAATAGCCAATATCGCGAGTTTCAGTAGCGATGCAAACGCGACGTACCTCACACCGCGAGGGAGAACCAGCGCAGTCGGCACTATGTCGTCGAAGTAATGCTCGTAGATGTTGATCGCGCTATTTTGCTTCATGCAGCGCTCCATAGGCTATAGGGCGAGCAATTGTAGGGAAGCGTAATGAATTGTTAATTAGTCTCGACGGGGATGAATTACCCGAATACTTATTCCACCAAGTGACCACCATCATTCGCGCGCACGACGATGGTGGGGAAAGAAAGATTTAAACGTGGATGGTATCCTACGATGGATGCATCTTAAAAAGCCGCTCACAGTGAT